ATAATCTCGCTCCAGTTGATTAAACCGTTTCTCATTCAGGCGATTATTTTCTACTTCTGTCTGTAATGCATCTCGAAGATGAAAGTTCTCCTCCTCCAGCTCAGCTTTATGTTCTTCACATGTTCTTCTCTGCCTTAGATGAGGCCTGCTAAATGACATTCTTTTTTCGTGATTATAAAAGAGAATAGGTGAACCTTTGATTTATATAGATCCTTAAAAAGTGCGTGATCTTGACTGGAATCTGTGAGAAAACTCTGATCAAATATGCACATGATACCCGATCATTGGTCAACAAGAAAAAATCACATGTTTTCACTTCTCGCTTAGGTGAAGAAAAGCTACAAGAAACCTGATATAATAAAGTAAAGATCATGTGATTTTCCCTCACGGCCCGTAAGCGAAATTTGCTAAGAAAAAAAATAACACTGAACAATGGGATCATAATATCGTTGTAATATATTTTTATTAATAATATATATAATTTATCTATTTTAACTTAATCAGATGTTACTGTTGAACTATCTTCTAAGTTTCTACTTGATCAATGTAAAGGAGTATTGCGCAGTAAAGACATATTAACCATTAAAATATTCCGCAAAACCAACAAAGTTTTAATGAATTCAGCCAGAACAGAAGGTTTATGTGAATAACGAATTGGAATTATAGATTCGCGTAATTTGTAATAATGATGTACTTCAACCTTGTCTCTGATCAGAATATTCAGACATAGTTTTTGTCTTGCTACTTGCACCCCTATAATTCCAAATTGATCCTTCTCAGGTTTGCGACTTTTTTGGACCCAATACATTCCATCATTGGTTTCGCACTATAATTTCACATTATCATCATCTTCCTTCTGCTTATTACAAAAAATTCGAGAGCATTCTACGTACATAAGTTTGTAAAGTTTATCACTCTCTTTTGACACAAGCATTATATCTGGCCGTCTTCCAGTGCGTCCATCACCCCTTCTATCTGAACTTGCTATACTTTAGTGTTCGAAACTAAAAAAGAAATCAATTTAATATTCGTAACTTGCTATAGCAAACATAGAGGCGGGATATTACAAAAACTTACGTAGTAATGAATGCATGTTCTTCAAAGGGTTATCAAATAATGTAGCACGTATTGCGGAAACAACTACATTATTAATATAGGTACCCTCATTCATCATTTCGACAAATTCAGGACTGAAAGTCAGATTGCATCAAACACTTTTCAACATATCAAAAATTTTTAACGCGACCTCATTAAGCTTATTGTCACATTCCTTCCAGTTCCCATCATGTGTTAATCCTTCTTGTAACCTTGGTATACTTCGTGGCATAAAATTTGTTACGAATTTTACACATTCTTCTGTTACGTCTTGAGGCATTGTTGGGGGCACCATTTTTTCAACCGGTTTCTGGAATAAATATAATTAATTTTAGATGGTAGAAATAATCTAGATTATCTTCTACCAACAAGAAAAAAGAGTATTGGCAAAATATATGTACCATAAATTTTTTCTTTTGTTTTTTTGATAATTGAGCTACTAGTAACGAATCACCACTTATGACCTGACTAGCCAAAGGGATCTTCCAGGTTAGTTCAGAGATTGTTAGTCCATTTAAAATAACTACTAACTCCTGGCAAAGTTTTGATGTTTCAGCCTAAATAATACGAATACCTTATATTATTCTGACTTGCCAGCAATATAAAAAAAAGATAATGCCACATACAGCAAGTTTTTCTTTCAACTTATTTATATTGTGTTTAATCTGTTCTGAAGTAAGAGGCTTCTCTTTATTCTGCAAGTCGAAAGGTTGTTATTAAATATATTCATACCATCTACCTTTCTTAAAACATATCATTTTTATAACTCCAACGTCCTGTAAATTACTAATACAATCAAAAGCAATATCAAACTAACGCAGATATACAAATAAGTTAAATAACCGCTGATGCATCAAATGAAAATATAAATAACCGCGCAGTCGTCAAAAAATAAGACAAAAAAATCACTCAGTACAGCCTGGCTATACAAATGAAACTTTGTGTGATACAATATTAACCACATTAAAACAAGCATGGACTTCAGCATAAATAACCCTCCACACCGTTGAGGAAAATCCTGTTGGTAGACTAATAGGGTTTTTATACTGACATACTTATCTCTTCAGAAGTGTCACTATCTGCGTACTTATCATTCGATTTAATATGATCATAATATTTTACCTATAAAATAACGTACCTGTGGTATAATTTGAATAAGTTTTCCAGAACGCTCAAAATCTATACCATACGAGTTTTTTTATCAAATTAACCGCTTTTTCTACAATGTCTCTTAATTCGTCTTTACTAATCTAAGGATTTTCTTCTAATCCTTGATAAATAATGGAGTCTGCCATTAAATATTCAGTCTTTACGCTGGTCAAATATTCTACAGTTTTTACGTATAAATATTCTGAAGACATAATG